AAAAAACTTATTACGACGTCAAAAAACGTCATATAAACTTATTACAACACCTTTAGATAGAACACTTTATTTTTTGGTTCTATAAAGAGGTCTATTAAGACACTTAGAATTTTGAAGTGTCCTATAAACCCGATTTTATTGTAGTGACATCAAGTTGTATAGAATTCTCTAAACTTGAAGTTTTCTCTGTTTTTTAAAGGTCAAGCAAAACATTTTTTTTATTCATTTTCTCAAATTTTGTGAATGATGTATAAATACAATATATATATATATATATATATATATACATATATATATAATTGTAATAATAATAATAATAATCCAATTTGAATTTAACGATTTAGGATGTCGGATAACCCAATCAATGTATTTTGTACGGTTCGTTTGATGGGTGAAATTTTTGTCCTTAATTTGTTGATGAAAAATTAATAATTTCTTAAGAAATACGTGTGAATACAACATATGGAGTTATAATATAAAGCTATCGTGACATGTGAATAACATGTTCTATAAAATATAAATCATACGTGTGTTGCATAGTTATCTTTTTTTACAAGTGAAAAAGTAATCGTTTTCATTTTATAATATAAAAGACCGAGTATCAAGCTATATGATCTATAAATACTTTGTTCAAATGCAACAAACATGTTTTTACGCATCTCTAGCCATTAACAATCGACCTAAATAAAGTAAAACAAAAAGGGTTTCGGTTGTTTCTTTGTCAAGGTACGTTAAGTTGACCAGAACATCTATGGTTAAAAAACCAACTTCACATCGACACCGTAAGGGATTGTGCTTGGTTATGGCTATGCTCTTGATTTTTGGTTTTCAAAAACCCTGATTCTAATTTTTGAGATTCAAATATCTAACTTAATTGATTCACCGCATAATCTTAACGTTGTGTGTTAGTTTCACTGTTCGGTTTCAAAACTCCATTCTGATTTTTGGGTTCCAAGCATCTAATTCTGATTACGATTTGTTATTTGATTTTATATTTAGAAACCCTAATCTCGAATGTGGATATGAAAACATCTTTTCCATAACGATAATCAATATAATCAAGATTAGGGTTTTGGAACATTGTTCCATTGTTGTTTAACCAACATGATTTTGTACCACGAACATCTAGCGATGTTTCATCTTTGGCTTTGAGCTATTGAGATTTTGGTTTTCGACATAAGAAGCAAGTTGTTGTTGGCTTTTGAGATTTTAAACTATTATGATTTTGAATGTGTTCGAAGATGATGACAAGTGACGAATGAAATATAAAAACCAGCAAGACCTAACAATTATACGACGACGTATGAATATGGAAGGGCAAACATGTAACTTTAAGGGGACGTTTGGTTCGTAGAATGAAATTCGATGGAATTGGAATTTATCAAATGAATTTGACTTTGAGGGAATTAAATGGAATCTGATGGAATTTGACTATGCCTTGTGATTGCGTTTGGTTGCATGGAATTGGAATGAAATTCTTAACGGAATTGGAATTTTTTTTGTTTGGTTCACGGAATTCAACTTTGGAATCGGACTTAAATATCAACAAATGACTTTTTAGGATTTTTTTGTCATTTTTTTTAAATTAAAACTACCATTAAACCAAATTACATTATTAACATCAGATAAAATTTGAAATTGTTTACTTATATTACTAATATCTGAAATTTGGATGAGGGCTAAGGAATTCGTAGGAAAGGAATTTGAAATCCTAGTACATCAAGTGGAATCGTGAAATCGATGACCGAATGAATTTGTAGAAATTGAAAGGATTCCTTCACTTATAATCTGTGAACCAAACATCATATTTGAAATTTGGTCAAAGGATTGGACATTCCAATTCCTTTCAATTCCACCAAATTCCCATGATCCAAACAGCCCCTAAGTATATTGTATGGACATTATAGTCATTTCAAAACAATTAAAAAATCACATTAGTAACTTGGTAAAAGAAATTCAGTAAGACAAACACTTGTACTGATGTTAATTAATAGTTGTAATACCAATAATAAATAGATAATTATATTAAAATAGTTAATTAACCAGTAACTTGTCCATGCGACTTTAACCTAATTAACTGGTAAAGAGATGAGCATCCTTTCAGAATTAATGGGAGATCTGATGTTCGAATCCAAATACCACTCACCTGTCTTTTGTAGACATGATTTACTCCCCCTCCAAATTCGATTGATGTGGGACTGGTACGATGGAGGCATTCAAGATAGTGGCATCGTACCCTTTTGCTTAATAACAGTTGAAACTGCTAATTTATCTCATATTTAGTAGACCGAAGATAAAAGGTATCAAAATCATGGAGGATATTTCTCCAAAGAAAACCAAGTTAAGACCTAAAACTGTAATATATTCAAAAAAAAAACATGTAGGCATCATTTAAAGTGTATGTTTAAAAACACTTATAGATGTCTAACACACCTTTAGAACATGTTGGTAAATCAGTCATAACTCAGGTTCGACCCTTGTCTGGAATGTTTTTTATTCAAAGGTCAAGCACATCCTTTGGAAACGACAATCATTGTGTGATTCATGTGGAAGGAGCGCAGAGATTAAGGGAGACTCGGAAAATACGTTGATATCATGATTAAAAAACAACTGAGATATATAATCCGTTGAAACTCCATAAAATTAACTGACAATCATCGTTTATTTATAGTTGAAAGTTGCTCTTTGGGGCTGTTTGCCAAACGCTTACCCAGGTAAACGCTTACCAAGTCAAATTACATCACCGAATGAATATGGGATGAACCAAGAATCTTACCCGGTAAGAGCGAGACAAGGACCAAGAATCTTACCCGGTAAGTGAGAGTGACGGATCTTACCACGGTAAGCGCTTACCGTGTAAACTATTACATGCGATGTCGTTTTGCTGGACTAAAATCTTACCCTGTCAGTAAATAGTAGTGTTAAATTTTACCGGTAAGCACTTACCGGGTAAATATTAGGTAAACGGCCCCTTAGTTTTTCATAAACGAGATGGGATCGCGCTACATTGCATGATTATACTTCTAGTTGTAATTTTATTTTTGCAAATTTTTTAATTTACAAAATATTCAAATAGATCCCGATCAAGATCTAGAAACGGAAGTTTTCCAATCACTGACTCGAACCCATTTGAAAGACCTTGCGTTATATCACCAGATCTTGATTTTTCATCATACACATCCGTGTAAAAATTTAACTAAAGAAGCTAAATTGTTTTGAATTTTTCTGAAACACTTGTCTCCATAGATACAAATACGAAGTGAAACACTAAGAGGTTGTTTGACAGTTGCTGAATGGTTTGGTGCAGAATGATTAAGTGGTCAGAATGATTAAGAGGCTCTTATGATATAGTGCAAAATTAAATATAATTGTTTGGTAATTGTTTACAATGGAATTAGGGTGCTGAATGGTTAAGGGAGACCCATGATACAAAACCATTCAGAGGGTTTTAGAACCATTAAGAGATAGACTTTTTTTTTACCAAACAAGATTCATCTCTTAACGGTTCAGATACTGCTTTTAATGTAACTATTAATAGGTAAACAAATAACCCCTAATACAGTCACACTCATTAATCTTTCAAGACATCCTTCAAGATACAAAATAATCTAAAAAAAGAGTAAATTATGTCTTTTGTCCCTGTGGTTTGTTAAAAATTACGGATTTTGTCATTGTGGTTTTGAAATTCTGATTTTCGTTCCTATAATTTGCAATTCATTTCTATTTTCATCCATGAGGCCGAAACATTGAATGACTAAAATAGAAATGAATTGTAAAACATAAGAATAAAAAAAAAATTTAAATCATAAAAACAAAAAAAAGTAATAAATTATAAATCATAAAGACAGAAAAAACAATTTTAAAATTATAAGGATGAAAATAGAAATTTTTCAAAAAATCACTCATCCTATAATAAAAGAACACTAAATACAAGAATCTACTTAAATTGCATTTAATCAGAGTGCATCGAAATCAAAGTTTCAAATTTCTTTTTTAGGTATGGAGTTTAAGGGTTGTTTGATAGTTGCTGAATGGTTTGGTGTACAATGATTAAGAGGCTTTCATTATATACTGCAAAATGAAATATAATTGTTTGATAATTGTTTACAATGAAATCAGAACACTTAATGGTTAAGGGAGGCTCAAGATACAAAATCATTCAGAGGGTTTTAGAATCATAAAGAAACAGACTTTTTTTTTGCTAAACAAGATTCACCTCTTAATGGAACTATTAATAGGTAAACAAACAACCCCTTACTCTACCTTTTATTTTAAGTCATCATTCCACCTAAATATAAGACAGTTCCCTGGTTTGATCTCACCCCCTAGTCTCAACCGAAAAGTGAAACAAATAAACCACTCTATTGATGTAGTTAAAGATGAGTTTAGTATTCAATCGACTGAAATTACTGGTATTAATTCTTTATCTAAATAATAATTTGAAATTAAATAATAAATTTAATTAAAATAGTCATTTTCAAATATAGGTCGACAAGTTTTGATATTTCTAGAAAAGAAATAACGAAAAGGTGAAAATGGTTATTTTAATTAATTTTTTAATTAAATAATGTATTTTGATTCTTATTTATAGAAAATGGAAGGGGATTTTTTGAAGGGAGAGGGTGGCAACCTGCTTTACCGGTAACCGAAAAACAAATGTTCACTCTTAAAATGGGCCTGACATGTTTCCCCTCCTTGTTATCTCTCTCTCCAATGGAATCACTCTCTCTCCCATGATTCTCTCTCTGCCTTCACCCCTTTCATCTTTCCGTTCGCCGGCCACCACATTCCATTTTATTCCGGCCAACACTTTTCTCGCCGGCCGTTTGCACATGTATCCGTAAAAACTGTCAAATCATTGTTTCAACTGAAGTTGAATACTGAATAGTGTTATTACTTAAAACTAATCTAATCGATCCTTGAAATTGTATATATATATATATATATATATATATATATATACAGATACAGATTTGTTTCATATAATATTAGCTGAGGAGATGTTGGATCTTAATCTCAACTTCCTTAACGAAGAGGAGACAACGGCGTTTCGAGATGTGGAGGAATCAGGCACCTCTAATTCATCTGTGTTGAATGCGGATTGTGTTACTTCGAGTAATGCTGGAGACGGCGACGATGACTCCAGCTCCGCTGGCGGCGCTGGTGAAAGCTTCTCCTGCTTCAATTTTGACATCTTAAAAGTTGGAGATGCTGGTGTTCAGTCTGGCAACAACTACGACGAGGATCGGAGGAGCCAGGTTGTGACTCAGTCCGAGTTCGTGACTCGGCATCTGTTTCCAGTGGGTCATGGAGGCGGAGGTGGAGGTGGAGGCGGAGGCGGAGGCGGAGACGAACCAGGAAGGTTGAATCAGGCACAGCAGGCTAACTCATTGTTGCTGTGCCCTAACACTAACGAATTGCAAGAGATGAGATTGGTTCAAGTACAGCAACAGAAGGCCACGGTACAACCAAATCCGGTGGGTAAGAAGAGTCGGAGGGGACCAAGGTCAAGAAGCTCACAATACAGAGGAGTTACCTTCTATCGAAGAACTGGTAGATGGGAGTCTCATATCTGGTTAGTTATTTCATTTGTCTCTTCGTAATTTTGTTGATGCTTTTTTATACTTCGCTTTCATTCTTGTAGTTATATCTGTACTTTTATGTTTTGATGCAGGGATTGTGGGAAACAAGTTTATTTAGGTAAGGATATATATATATAAATTCATAGATCTTTTCTTCTGTTGCCATTTTTAGTATAAAATTATTATTTTCATTTTCTTCTTCATCTATTTTCGGCAATTTGTTATTAATTATAATGTTGGGCTCTATTCTGTATTCAGGGGGATTCGACACAGCTCATGCTGCAGCTAGGTATGGTGACTGATTATAATTTTGTTGTCTTTATTGTGCCTTTCTTCTCTTCTTTGTTGTTTATTTCTAGTTGTGTTTCTGTTCGTTTGATTGTGATATCCAGAGCCTACGATCGAGCTGCCATAAAATTTCGGGGTGTTGACGCAGACATCAATTTTAATCTCAGTGATTATGAGGAGGACATGAAGCAGGTTTGAACTTTGTTAAATTTGTTATAGAGACTTGGTTTTTTTGTTTGGTTTTCAAATAGATGGCTGATAATCTGGTGAATTTGATTAATCTCTTACTTTGTTTTTGGTTGAAGCAGATGAAGAACTTCTCAAAAGAAGAATTTGTGCACATACTACGACGGCAGAGCACAGGGTTTTCAAGGGGAAGTTCAAAGTACAGAGGGGTGACATTGCACAAATGTGGCAGATGGGAAGCTCGAATGGGGCAGTTTTTAGGCAAAAAGTGAGAATCTACTAATTACAGTTCTTCTAAATTAAATCATTAGATAATGCATTGTCTGAGCTTCTAACTGCAAAGAAACTTCTGGTGGTTTTACCTTGAAGATTAGATTAGATTAACTTAACCTGAAATTAGTGCGTTTCCTTGCTGGGGTAACAAGTAAAGATACCAATTTGAAAGATGAATGATTCCAGACCTAATTTTCATCATGGAGATTACAATGCTTGCATTGCAGGTATATATATCTTGGGCTATTCGACAGTGAAGCTGACGCCGCAAGGTCCTAATGATCATGAATTATACATTCTCTTCTTCATACTGATTTCTTTTTTATACCCACAATTCTCGATCTGCAACCTTAATAGGGTATCATCCAACAATCTCTCCCTTTTTATTTTCTGGAAAATAGGGCTTACGACAAGGCAGCCATCGAGTGTAATGGAAGAGAAGCCGTTACCAACTTCGAGGCCAGTACTTATGAAGGGAACACGCTTCCTGCACCTCGTCATGGTAATTTTCATGTACCATAATCACTGTATGTGTCATTTCTTGCAAATATTGTTGTTGTCCATAGAGTTTGGATGATTGGCAAGTTTGTAAAGTTTCTCTACCATGTGATACAGGAAGCGAGCATGATCTGAATCTAAGATTGGGAATTTCAACCCCTTCTCTTGGAGAGGGGTCAAGTAGAAATGAGAATTTAGAGCAAACCCATTTGAATTATGTGCACGACACTCGGAGATTACAGGTAACCAATAATAAAAAATACACCATTTTGTGTAGTACTCTCCTGTATTGTTGTACTGCCTTCAATTTAAAGGAATCATCAAATACCATAAAAGTTTGAGCAAAAGACTTGGGAGTTATTGTTGGTAGATGCTGAATGATTTTGTGCAAAATGATTAAACGGCCTGTATGATTTAAAACAGAATGAAAAATGGCTGAATGGAGAGTCCGAATGACTGAAAATTATCATTTTGACACTTCGCATGATTTAGTGCTGAATGAAAAAGGACGGTTTGGCAACTGTTTCTAATTAAACAATTACCTTGCATATATGTAACTTTGTGAATTTTAATTACGAAAAAAATAAATTACCCATTATCATATTGCAAATATAAATTACCTACATAACATTGCTTAGAACAAGCTTGGTAGCTTTCTCCCTAGTCTTTACTTCCCATCTCGTATGTTATTATCTGAAACTTGTAGTCTATTCCACTAGTTTGAAACTATTTCGGTAACCCACTCACCTATGTTATGTTACAGCAGTTGGAGAACCCTGTTTCAACCACAGTAGGCATTACAGCTCTTAAAGGACTACCCTTAACTTCAGGACACCCTACACCATGGAATGGTGTATACCCTACCTTCGTTCCCAACTATGAGGTAAATTCAGTAATTAGTTTTTATAGTTCACTACTATCGTAGTTTTATCGCTTTGATTTACTGTACAACATGCTTTGGACATTTGATGCAATATCTTTGGCATCCAAAAACCGAATCTTGTCCCGTTTCATGCAATGGAGTCTCACATCGGTTAGACGTGGACCATTTTTCCTTAATATATGTTTGGAACCTCCCTTCTTTATATAAGAGTTCTTTTGGAAAGTAATCTAATGGGGTTTCACATGGTATCAGACCCAACGTTTACCACTCTATAGACTCAACATCCTGGGACAATCTGTGCCCGTTTAGCTCCCTCTCGACGCTCTACACTCTTTGACAGTCTATCCTCCATTGGAAAGGCGTGTTGGATTCTCACATCGGCTAGACTTGTGCCCTTTCTCCTCCATATATTGTTTTCTAAAGGGCTCTTCTGGATAGCAATCTAACAACGTTCCATTCATTCCTATAGCTCATATGCTCATTTTATGCTTGCTTGGTTTCAAAGTGCATTTTTTTGATATGAAGTTCATCACATATGCCTAGTATCTAATATTATACGAAGAACTAGAGTTCCCTTTTACCTTCCAATTTCAATTGGATAGTTTTTAAGTTCAAAATCGAATGAAAAAAGAGAAACACATTGAAACTGCATAACGTGTAAAAAGGGTGTTGCAATAGGAAAAATTTTGAGCTAAAAAAACACGGTGGTTGTGAGATGTAGTCGGATCTTTAATAGTTGTGTGTGTTGTTTCTCAGGGAAGTGCAACAAACACTAGGACCATAGCAGGCTCGTCGCAAGGACCGCCCAACTGGGCTTGGCAACTGCATGGTCATAATCACATCCCAACAGCAGCATCATCAGGATTCTCAGCTCCGGCAGCCACTACTGCTGTCATGACTTCCGGCAGCCATTACTCAAGAGATACCATCTCAATGGCGGCTCTCAACAGCCATTATTCTCCGGCCACCACTGCCACAAGCTCTTCCCAATACTACTACCAGATAAGGCCACCACCACCACCACCTCCTCCTCCTTAATTTCGTAATCCAAAACATTGACCGATTGAATTGTTTATTTTTCGCGTAGTGATTGCTAATATTGCCAAATATATGGCTTGCTTCTTTTGGTAGGGGCCATAATGTATGTGTTTTTGTGTGCAAGAGATAATGAATCAATGAGTACCACGTTTGCTACTAACGCGATAATATTGCTTGGGAACATTCATTAATCAAAGTGATAAAGTATTCAGAAATGACGGTTAACGTGGAGATGCAACACAGATTCATGGGTCATTTCGCCATGGTTTTGTTTTTCTCTTTCAATTACTCCATTTTTTCGATTTTTTAATTTTAATTTTAATTTTAATTTTAATTTTAATTTTAATTTTATTTTCAATTTAAATTTATTTTAGTGATTAGAAAAGAAGCAACATAAAATATAATGGAGTTGAGTTGCGTTGTAGGAAAGTATAAGATGATGAAATTGGTGGAGAATATAAAGAGTATGGTAAAGAAGAAGACAAGCAATATGCTTCTTTTGACCCAATTGGTTGTATGTTATTGGCCAATGCACATTTAAAGAGGTATTAAATGCAATTTAAGATCAAGTTGATTTTTCGTTGGACAGGGTTTTGCCACGTCAACCCCCAAAGGCTCCATCTCTTGCCTTTAATGGATCATGGTCCCATCCTTCTCTTCACTTGACCTAAAAGCTTTTCTAACCTTTCACTTTTGTGAAATGTTTAAATTAGCCCTTAATAAAGTATTCAGTAAAAAAATCGTTGCACCATCCAAATCGGTTGAACCAAGTTAAATAAGACCATTTTTGACGGTTTGAGTAGTGGTCCGGTCTAGTCTCGATTTAAACATTTTTTTAGCAGTTTGGATTGAATCGACTGTAAAAATAGATATGTATTAATTATATTTAGTTTTCATGTTGTATGCTTGACTATGGTTCAATTAAAAAGTCCATCCAAGACATTAAGTTTTTAGTTTTCATTTCTTAATTGTCCGTGTTACCTAAATCGGGAAATTTTTGGAATCTGTCAAAAATCAAAATCCAAATTTCAAATCGTCTGTCAATTTGATTAATGTTTGTCTAAAATTCTAACTATTGTTGGTGAGCTTTTTCAACTTATTTTTTTTAACTTGTTCAATGTTTATTTATTAGTTTGTAGATACATGTTTCTTTTATAACTTATTGTAGTATTTTCTTTAATAAATGTTATATCGATAAATAATTTCATTTGGGGGATAGATGTTATGTAATTTTTAGTTTAAAGCCCGTTAATAGGCCGAAATGACCTAAACCAATCAGACCACATTTTTGTGGTTTGGTTTAACCGTTTTGGTTACTTGTTATCAAACCGTTAAAATGTCATTGCGTAAAGACTCTAGACTTTGGCCTAATAAGGATCAAAAATCGGCTAAAGAAACACCCGACCCAATGACTGGTTATAGGTGTAAACTCGTTTTGGTTCTAAATTTTGAACCTGGGGCCGGTCCCTAACCGGTTAAAAGATGTCTGAATTAAGCTTGAAAATCGGTCATCAGTTAACCAAAAACCAGCCTGGTTAAAACTAAGTCAAGACCTATTGTTTTTACCTTAATTATTTATTATGACTATAAATTAAAACAATAATTTGTGGTATCAATAATAAAATTAATGCATTAAAATATTGTAAAATATTTCAAAGATATGTCTTGACATTAAACCCAACATGCAATACAAATAAAATAGATTAGTTTATTAGAACACAGAATAATTGGATGTTTTAGATCAAGTTAGGTCTTGGAAAAACATGACTTAGGGGCCGTTTATTAAATGCTTACTTGGTAAGTACTTACTGAATAAATTTCCTTATCGGATGAATATGACAAGGCCAAGAATCTTACCGGGTAAGAGTGATGAGAATGATGGAGAGTCTTACCCGGTAAGTGAAGATTACGACTCTTACCCAGGTAAGCGCTTACCCGGTAAATTGTTGCATTCAATACGTTTTGATATACTAAAATCTTACTCATCAAAATAAATTATAGTGTTGACTCCTATATGTAAACACTTACCGGGTAAGCATTTAAGTAAACAGCCCCTTAGATTAGGTTGTAGGTTAATAGTTAATAGTTTGGTTAGGGTAATATACATTTTCAAAATGCTTTGTGATTTCAATAATTAGAATCATAATAATTTAACTTTAAGGTCAATTTTGGTTTTCTGGTTCTTTAAATACGAATTTATTAACCATAATTCAATTTTGGAGTACATTAAAACACCCTCTCAACCTTGTTTTCCATATCTAAGCATTGAAGAAACGTCTTTTTGAAAAAGCTTCAAATAAAACTATATACGAACTAATAAACTTTGATTAAAATCTGATTTAGATTTTCGATGGATAACGATCAAAATTTCAATGAAGAAAATAAATTAAAACCAATGAATTACAAAAATAAAGGAGGGTAAAAAAGTGTAGAATTTGAATTCTTGAAGGGGTTGAACATAACTTGGTAGTAACCTCCGGCTGTATGATCATAAATTACGGTTGTTGTGGTTGATGGAACCAAAAAGATTAACATTAATTTCTCTCTAAATTTTAATTTTAATTTCATACGTTTAAAAGAATATATATATATATATATATATATAATTTTTTATTATATCATTGATTATAAGATGAAGTTTTTCTATATTTTAAGGGTAAAATTCTTATTTTATTAATTAAAATGTATAATAGTTATATATTTCTAAAACTATATTTACAGATGATTGATATTGGTTTGTACAATGTGTAACATTTAGGTGGTTTGTATTTGATTTGACATACACACACACACACACACACACATATATATATATATATATATATATATATATATATTAGAAGCGTACTCGCGCAATGCAACGAGATATATCGTGATTTTAATATTTCATTTTATTTTTTATCTCAGTCGATGTTATAATATGGTTTTATGTGATTTTAAGAAAGCGATGATGTTTTTATTTTTGAATAAAATATAAGTTTGAAGATATCATAAAAATTTGACAAAAATATATCGATAGTAGTATCAAATTAACTATTTGAAATTCCTCATTTTTTTGTGTAATTTTTTAATTCAATTTTTTTTTATAATTTAATTTATGTACAATAACGAAGTAATTTATATTTGGTTTAATAATATAATTTTTTTATAAAGATAATAATTATTTATTTTGTTGGAACTCGATAA